CTTGATCAAAAATTTTGAATGAATTTATATAAACTAATTTAAAACAAATATGATGAGGTTTTTAACTGATTTATATATTCTTTTCACGAAAGCAGTTTATTTTTTTGTTGACAAAATCTGGATACTTTATTTCAGAATCAAATAAAACAGGATCTTAGAGTGATATCTTTATATTTAATAGAACTGAAGTTCTCATGTTTAAAAATGGTATATTCTGACAAAAGGCCACAATATTGTGAAAATCAGTAAGAATCAAAATTACTATAATTGTGACTTTTATGAAGCTATCTTGTAAAAACTGTTCCACAATGTTGTAGTAAAATAAGCGCATCCCATCCCCCCTCTCTCTTGTAACCATCCACCACAATATAAGAAATGTTTTTCAGTGCTAAAGCTGAATTAGTCAAATAAAGTTTTAACTTAGAACTGTTGCTATATTATACACAATAAAGTAAGTATTTATTGAGGTTAGTTTATTCTGTCACAAGAACACAATAAAGGGTCACACAGTAAGAATTAAATGTTACTAGTTAACTATTGTGTTATGGTATTAATTCCAAAAGGTTATTTGAAGATTGTATTACAATTGCTTATTATACTTAACTTGATATAGCACAAGAAAACAATAATGGGTCACAGAGAAAGAACTGATTTTAATGCTCCTGTAAGCTGGTCTCAAAGGTAAAAAAGTGTTTCCTTTTTGATTTAACAATATTATAGATAAAATTACTTGATTAAATTTATTTATAACTAATCAAACAGGTAAAAGAATAGATTTAAGAAAAGAGATTATGATTGAGCTGTGATAATTTATTAGCATTAAATTTACAAATCATGGAATACAATTATCAGCATTAATAAATTCCACATTACATGCCAAATTTATTAACACAACAAAAGTGAAAAAATCTCTTTACTTTCTGATGGAGTTTCTTTCCCTCTTATTTATTTTCTTAAACAAAGAAATTAATAACAACTAGCTTAGATCTTTCATCAATGCCAGTTATTATTAATTTAAGAAAATAAAAAATAAGGATAGCATCTCAAACACAGGAAATGTAAATAATGTTAATTGTAATCATTGTATTAAGCTCATATCTATCAAACAAATGTCAGTTTATTTCAGCCTAATGGGTAACAATAATATCACATGTAAGATAAATAATATCATGTTGTGGTCACAACTATAATGGGAGAGAGATATATTCCATATATATATATTACACACACACACACACATATTTATATATATATATATATATATATATATATGAAATAACTATGTTCAGTTATCAGTTTATCTCATTCTACTGAAATCTATTAATGTCTTTCCCTATCTTTCCCAGTCTTGTCGTAACTCTCACAGTTTTGTGCATCCATCTGCCTGTCAATCAGTCTGTTATCATATTCTGTTCATGTCTTTTTTATCTAGTTAGCTACATTCCAATCCATCTGTGAATATACCTGTTGGTTAAGGGGATAGTAAACTTGGATTGCCTGATTCTAGTTAGTGTTCAAGCTCAATGTCTGTTTCTTTTGTAAAAAAATGCTTATCAGGTTTCAAGAACAGCCATTCTTTAACCCAAAAAACAAAAAAAAAAAATGGAAGATAAGCTTAACTGTTTGTAACTGATGGCAGATAATCATCTTTAAGGCAAAAGCTCATTCTTCTCCCCAAATAACAGTTTGAAACCTAAGCATGGATTATGTGTTAGACATAATACTTTTCCATTTATCAGATGGAAGCTATCTGAAACCCATTACTCCAGAAATATCTGTTATTTCATTTGTAGGAACACACTGTTACTTCTGTTGAAATGTTTTAAGCATGTTAGATCTGGTCTTGCCAATATAAAAACATCCTGAGATTTTTGATAGCAAGAAACAAGTTGGCTTATCCATTTTTCAATGACATAATCTTTAAGGAAAAAGAATGGTAATAAGTTATGACAAATCATGGGCAAGAAGAATATCTTATGAGATTTGACCCAGACAACTAATCACAGAGCCTGAAAAATGGTTAGCTTTTACAAAATATTAATTTTAATGATCAAAGAATGTGATTTAACTGAAAAGTTTTCAATAGAAAAAAAGAATAACAAGAAAATAAATATTATTTTCTTCTCTTTCTCTCAAACTCTCTCCCATTCTTTCTCTTGTTCTCATATTCACTCACTCTCTCTTGCTTTTACTTACATGCCACCCTCTCTTTCTCTCTGGCATACAGAATGCAACAATTTTAGTTTGTATCCAAAGGACTTCAATGACATGGAGTCTTGGTTTTGTTGAAACAAAAAATATAAGTTTAATCAGATGGAATTTGGTGAATGGATGTGTTTCTGGTACTAGTATTATATGTGGGTTTGTAATGTGAGTAGAGATTGCACTTTGAACAGGAAAGTTGTTTTGATATTCTCATATTAAATATGTTAATTACTCTACATATTTTGATTATTAATTTACCTATTTCCTTTTGTTGTTGCTTTGCATCTTTAACTCATCTATTCTTCATTAAAGGAAATTATGGAAGCCCAAAATGAACAAAAGTTAATTTTGATTATTTTTTCATCTTTCTTCCATAGGCTAATTTATTTTTCATCCATGAAGTACAGCTGCAGGAATTTGTAATACAGAAGTAGCAAGGAATAGGATTCATATTTGCTTCACAGGAACTGGTCTTTCATGGAAAATGCTTTAACTAACTAGGTTACCAAAAGTGTAAAAGTGCCACAATGACATGATAGAAAGCTCATCTTACAAGCCAATTTTATGATAGGTTGATTTCAATCTTCATCAATCTGTATCCAAATATTGTGGTTTGGGGTAAGCTTAAAAAATAACAGTTTTTAAGATAATGTTTCTAATATTTCAAATATTATTTTTTCTGTTGATTCTATTCTGTACTGTATTGTTAACTGGCAAAGACATATTTTGTTTCCACTCTATTCCTCTTTGACAAATTAAAGAATATTAATTACAGATTTGAAATTGCTGAATGAAAACAAAGTTTTTGTGTGATCAGCAACAATTTAAAGCATAAGCATCTGTTGCTAATTGCTTTAAGAAGAAAGGAAAGCTTCAAGGGGAGAGGAAAGCTTCAAGAGGTGAGGAAAGCTTCAAGGGGAGAGAAAAGCTTCAAGGAAAAAGGAACGCTTCAAGAGGTGAGGAAAGCTTCAAGGGGAGAGAAAAGCTTCAAGAGTAGAGGAAAACTTCAAGGGAAGAGAAAAGCTTCAAGGAGAAAGGAAAGCTTCAGGAGGAGAGGAAAGCTTCAAAAAGAAAGGAAAGCTTCAAGGAGAGATGAAAGCTTCAAGAGGAGAGGAATTCATTTCAGTTGCTTCAAGGGGTGAGGAAAGCTTCAAGCTGAAATTAAAGCTATGATGAGAGATGAAAGCTTCAAAGGGAGATGAAAGCTTTAAGGCAAGAGGAAAGCTTCAAGGAGAAAGGAAAGCTTCAGGAGGAGAGGAAAGCTTCAAGGGGAATAATTCAAGAGGAGTGGAATACTTCAATGGGAGGGGACAGCTACAAGGAGAGGAGAACTACACCCCTTCTAGCTATAAGGGGTGTGGAAAGCTTCAAGCGGGAGGAGGGCTGCCACTTTTCCAAGGGTCTTCAAAATATATATTCAGTATATATGTGAATTCTAAACTTGTTATACAAGCACTAACTCTTGTTTTGTAAAGCAACTAAAGGTGGGGTTATATAAGCTGACTGTATGCCACTATTATTCTTTATTTAGTATATGAGCGATGACGTGTTGATTCAATAGTGGGGGTAGGGGAAAATAAGTACTTATCATCATTCACCTTCAATTGATTCCCATGATTCAATGTATTATGTTGGTTTCTAATATAAGCATGATTCATAAATCTGGATATTCTTTGAATAAAATCAATTTCACTCTTAAAATTCAAAAAGTTTCATATCAGCTCTTAAAATCTTTTTTTTTCTTCACACATAAAAGAAATATGTGAATAATATATCACACAAAGACAAAAAAGATGAAAATTTCAAAGAAAAATGTAAAATTGGTGAAAAATAAAAATGAAATATTAAAAGAAAGAATTTTCTTGAAGACCAAAATTTACAAAGTGAGAAAAAATTATTTTGGTCAAAATGGGTGATTTGTTTCATCAGTTTAGCTTAGTATGACACAAGGCCAAAATAATAGGGCATATAATAATACTAGTGAATTTGTCTACAAGAAAAGCTTACTAATTAGTTTCACTAATAGTTTTCACTAAGTATAACCTAGTCTGGTAAAAGGACATAGTAAGGGAGCATCTAAATTGCTACATTAGCAAATTACCTTGTGAAGCAAGCTTACCAGCCACTTACAGTTCTTAAGCTTATTTTATCTGGTATAAAGCAGTATTAGCAAAGCTCTATATTAGTAAATTAGTCTACAAGGCAAGTTTTCCAACCATTATGAAAAGTAGGTGCTATGTTATTTTCTAATCATAACATAGTCTGACACAAGGCTATAAATGTAGACTACTCTGTAGAGATCAAACTGCATTAGAGTATTAGTCTGTGAGACAATTTGGTTGATCATTCTACGATAGGTGTCTAGGTAAATGGAAGAACGTTTTACTCAGATTAACCTGATTTTTTTTAGACATTTATTCCTTTTTTTGTCAACACTGGTCACATGATATTTGCTAAAAGAGCATGAGGCCATTTTTGTTGATGGATATCTTGAGTCAGTCTTTGGAATAAGAACATAATTCGTGTTCAGCCCAAACCATTTCCCTTGTGAATTCCTTTCACTTCATTCCAAGTTTGAATGGAGACAGGACAAGATATTTTCATTTTGGTAGAAGAGCTTTTTTTTTTCTCGCCAAAAAGCCTCCTGCCGTTTTTCTCACCAAAAGCCCTCCTGCCGGGTAAAAATCCCTGGTTGTATCTTTGGGGAAATCTCAACAAAAATGAAAAGGACTTGATACGGTCTTATCTAACTGTTTTTCTTTTGAAGAATCACACAGCATTTTAACTTGAATAAATCAAAGAGAAAAATAATAATACATTGTGGAAGGGGAGTACAGAGAAAGAGAGAAAGACAGAAATGAAAATGAGGGTAACAGGGTTAAGAGAGAGAGAGAGAGATAGAAATGAAGGTTAGGGTAATAGGTTAAAGAGAGAGAGAAATGAAGGTGAAAGTAATAAACGCTGAGAGAGAGAGAGAGAGAGAGAGAGAGAGAGAAAGAAGTGAAGATAAGGGTAATAGTGTAAAGAGAGATAGAGATAATCAAAAACAAGAAAAGAAAAGGAAAAAGAAAATGAAAGGAAAAGAGAAAGACAAAAATCAGAAGAGAAAGAAAGGAAAAAGAATAATGAAAGGTAGAAAAAAGAAACAAAGATAAGGAGAGATCGAAAAGGAGAAGTAAAAAGAATGAGAGAGAGTGCAATAAAGAAAGACTAGTGAAGAAAGTGAGGGAAAGAAAAAGAAATGAAAATAGAGAAAGATGAAGTGAATGGTAAGAGGAAAGAAAGAGTGAGAGATAAATGAAAAACTGGTGGAGAAAGGGAGAGGAAGAAAAGAAGAAGACAAAAACAGAGAGAAATAGAATAAGACAGATTGAATGATAAGAGAGAAAGGAATAAAGAAAAAAACACTGGTGAAAGAGAGAGAAATACAGAGAAAAAGAGAATAAAACAGTGTGAAGAATGAAAAGAAAGAGAAATATAGAAAAACAGGAATATAGAGAAAGAGAGATTAAAACAAACGAAAAAGAAAAATATAGAAAGCAAGCAAAAGAAGAAAATAAAGAATTGTGACTGAGGAAAAAAAGAATAATAAAAGTCAGGAATAGATCTCTCAGAGAAAGAAACCATTCTAATGTTGTTTTATTTCCTTTAACGATCATTGCATTCCTGTTTGTTCCACTAGCAATACAAACTATTGATGAAAATAATGAAGAGTCCAAAAAAAAAAAGGGTGTTTAAGAAATAAATCCGTCAAAATAAAAAGTATATTTTTTAAACTAGAAAGATCTGTATAGTATTATGACTATTTGACTGATTGAATGACTAAACAAAAAATAAATCACTTTATAGATGCCATTTTGTCTTTTACAACAAAATTATTTAAAAAATTATTTGCTCTTTTGAAAAAGAAGAGGAAACAACACATCTGTTTAAAACAGAAAATAAAAATCTTAGAACTGGTTCTTGAACTTTTCCAAACCAAGGCATCCAGAGTGAATAAGGTCATTTTTAAGGAGACCTAAGTCAGAAAACATGCGAAATAGAAAATTAAATAATGCAGGGGTGACAAGACTATCGGACCACTCTGTATATACTCATATCTATGCCAAGAAATGTGTGACAAAAAAATTGATGAGGATAAAATGATGGCTAGGTTTATATTCATATTTAGCTGATTTTCCATATGTAAAAAAAGAGCTAAAACATTTATAATGATCACTTTACAATGAAACCCTGTTTTGCATTGATTTTAGAAGCCTTTTAAGGAATATTTTTTGCCTTTACAGTATTTATATTTCCATTTTAAGGCTTGCATTTCATTTCTTTTGTATGTTGAATAAAATCCTGTTACATTTGGAAGAGGATGCTATTGTTGCCTGCTAAAAGGAAGTAAACAAAAATGACACTTACTGTAAATTGCAGTGTACAAAAGTCAAGTTTTCAAGCTTAAAATATCTTTCCAAAACTAGGACTCAACTTATATGGTGGATATAAAATGCAAACTGTTACCACTGATTTGTAAACAAGTGAGATAGTACTTCTAACAATTACTGTACTGTACAATGAGAGGAGGCATGGTGGAGTAATGGATAGTGGCTCGGATTGAGGAATTGGAGAGCTGAGTTTGAATTCCAGTTGAATCCATTACATTCACTTACGTGCTAATACCGTTGGGAAAGGTACAAATCCTCTTCTTAGCTATGGGTAAATAGCAGGACAGACCAGGTTCTATAGCCTTGGATGGCAACTGGTCTACCACAGAAAGAAATGGCAATCTACTGCAGGAAAAAAAATCTACCTCATCAGTCATGTATCGAAAGATACATGATTGCCTAAGCGTGTATCACACATGGCACATGACTGACTGACTGACAACACTTGCCATATCTCCAGCAGGCTGCCACAAATATCGCACTAAAACTTGTGTTTGGTGAAGATATTTGGCATATTAACACAGAAATTAATATAAAATAATAAAATAGTAACACAAATTGAGTATCTGTCTGTATTTCTGAGATGAGGTATTATGTACACTATTTACATTATTCGAACTATTGTCCTCATCTTTGACGCCATATTTATTACAATGTTTTGGACATTGTATGCTCCGGCCTTCTTCAGGTGGTTGGAATGTCGAACTGAACACTTTATTTCGCTCAGTGGGGTAGACTGTTCTAGTTCCATGTGCCATGTCTAATGAATGTCAGTTATCAGTTATCTCCTGTTAATTCCCTTCTTCAAGTAATCCACTGCCTTAACCAGGTATTGAACTCAAATTCTTTGGGTCCTGTCACTGGATCTAACTAACACTTTTATCCACTGTGCCATGTGGCCTTGACCAGAGCGTACAATGGCCAAAATGTTTAACAAATATGGCAACAAAGATGAGGACAATAGTCTGAATAATGTAAATAGTGTACAAATTATTAGTATTCTATTAACACTACAGCACACATTGCATCCAACAGCCAAACACTGTCAAAGTGCCGTTTAACTCAGGTCGCCATTTAGACAACTAGGTGTGGCATGCGTGTCATCTGCACAATTTCATGATAGTAATAACAGTTTAATGACACATAATGGTAGTTTATTAAATATATAGAGCTGGGGGTTGATCTATATGGCAAGTCTAACTCAGAATTTTCAGCTAAAAATCTTGTGGTCGATTTGTATGCTAGGTTGACTTGTATGCCACAATTTACAGTAAAATCATTTTAGATAACAAAATATTAAAACTTCATAAAACTCTTCTCCAAAGGTGGGTATTTACAAAACTCACACTATTAGAACATAGTGTGTTGATTAGCTGCTTTGGCTTATTTACTGGTTTTTGACTTTTACCCTTTTCAGTTGTATGGTGGGGTAAGGTGGGGTTGGCTTATATACAGCAATTTAAACTGCTTCAACTAAATCTAACCTTTGTATCTTCTGGAAAAGATTTGTTTTTGAGTGAAGAAAATGAATTAGCTTTAAAGAGGTCAATTTACAATGTAAAAGTACTGTTTAGCAGATATTGATATTGTTAAATTGAACATTGGATGTTGCAAAAACCTATATAAAAGAAGGTCCAGTTCTTACATTATACATGCACTGTAAATCAAGCATGCATTCCCTTTAGCAGGCTAACCATAAGATGTCATCATTTGTACCAGGTTAATAGAATAGCAATGGCTGAAATTCTCATCATCCAAAAATAATGGGGTTTGATTGCTTATATTATATACATCTGCATCAGATTTTAGTCAGTTTCATATAAGTTAACATAAGACTGGATTAAAATTTTCAAATGTTCTGTGGCAAAACTGAGAGCTAATAAGAGAGCCTCAAGGTATTGTTATGCACACTTTAGCAACCACTACCTAAACTGTGTTAATATGACAAATATGTTTACCAAACATACCAAGTTTTAGCAGGATATATTTGTGGCAGCCTGCTGGAGATATGGTAAGTGTTGTACAGTAATTGTGAGGAGTACTCCCCCACTTGTTTACAACTCGGTGGTAAAGGTCAACATTTTATACCTGCCATATAAGTTGAGTCTTAGTTTTGGAAAAATATTTTAAGCTTGAAAACTCAACTTGTAGACTGCAATAGTCATTTTGAAGAATTTGTTAGTTAAATCTACATCAATCACAGTCAGTCAGGAATTAATAAAAAAAAAAGATTTTTACTTTTAAACATTAATTAATAACTATTTTGAAAGAGAGTAAAAACAAGCAATTATGTCAAAATTTTAAGTTATATTTGTATTTGAAAAAAACAAAAACTTTAGTTAAATAAAAAATAGCAGAAACAGACATGAGTTACAGTCAACATTAGTCATATTTGTTTTACGAATTTAAAAATTTTCAAAAGAATAAGGCTCACTATAGTATTTTGCATTAATTTAGTACTTTAGAGTAATTTGGTATTTACTCAACCCCCCACAAAGTTGCATTATGACAAAAGGGCATTTTAATGTGGGGGGCCTGAGCGCACATATCTGGGCTAGGAACAAAAATTCCCAAGTCTCCACAACTGTCAGTTGTGCTGGCCTTGGTGCAAATACCGAGCCCTCTCTCTAGTGAAATGAGAAGCAACAGCTTGGGCACCTGTACCCCAGGGCCAGCATTTCTCAGTATAATTTTCCTCAGTTGTGAATCTGTCCTTTGACAGAGCTGCCCCTGAGTACACTTTGCCCAAAGACAGAGACACAAGTGAGAGATGATAAATAATTGTGTTACAAACTACTCAAGAGTAATTTGTATTTACTCAACACCCCAGGGGTCAGGTTGTGACACAAGGCCAGTTTAATGTGAGGAGCCTGAGTATGTATACCTGGGCTAGGAATAAAAACTCCTTGAGATCCTCCAACTGTCAGTTGTGCTAGCCTCAGTGCAAGCACTGATCCCTCTCTCTGTGCAATGAGAGGGCACAGCCAGAGGCAGCTGTTCCCCAGAGCAAGCACCTCTCAGTATAAATTTCCTCATTCCAACTCTGTCTTTTGACGGAGCTACCCCTGAGCGCACTCTGCCCAAAGACAGACGCGCAACTGAGAGATGATAAATTATTGTGTTGCAAACTACTCAAAAGTAATTTGTATTTACTCAACACCACATGGGGTCATGTTGTGACACAAGGTTTACTGTGGGGATCCAAAGCGTGTACACCTAGACTAGGAACAAATATTGCCTGAGCCCTTGCAACGATCACTCTCTCAGTATAATTTTCCTTATTTGCAACTCTGTCCTTTGACAGAAAAAGCAAGTAGTTGAAGCCTGCTAGTTTATTATATTTATACATATTTATTTTTATTATTCATTAGTTTTTACTATTTATCCTTTAAACAGTTGTCATAATAATAATAATTGTTATATATGACAACAATCTATTTACTTTGACATTCAGGGTCTCCTCAAAAAAGTCCCTTAGTTCGTCACCTCTGACACCAAACTATGCAAACATCTCCATGTATAGTTGTTCTGAGGTTATCATCAGTGAGGAGTTCACTCAAGTAACTACAGTGAGTTTTGACCAGCTGAAGGGACTGAACTACTTAAATTCCAACATTGTATCTTGTTTCTCTTTGGAGATTATATCTTTCTTACAACCCATGGCTATTTTTATATATCTGAAATGAACAACCCTCACATAGCATAATAAAATCTTACAACAGCAAATTAGTTGTAAATATTTCTGATAAAAACAGATTAAAAACTGAAGTTCATATGATATAAATATATCTTGAAAATATTCTCAAAATCAGTTGCTTAATACAAATTTTATTGTGGAAACATTGAGTTGTATTACAAAAGACATCATAGTATAGTAATTCTCAGAGGGATCAATTTGTGACATAATAACAATAGAAAATCGATCCCCCACTTTATAGAATATATAAACTCAGAAACTGATATTTATATTTAACATTAATATATCTTGAAAATTTTTACCATTATCAGTTTGTTAATACCAATTTTAGAGAAAGCATTGATTTTTATAATAGGAACAAATTAAGATATTTTATTCTTGAGAATCCTTATTTTATCAAGAATTAATATTTCATACAAAAAAACAATTTTTAACTAATTTTCTAATTGAAAACTTTTCATTGAATCAGATAATCCAAATTAACAAATTATATTTGCAATTATATTTTAATCAAATTCAGATGCATATTATTCATATAAATAATAAATGACCAATGAAATTTGTTTTTAAGAAATTGTCAAAAACATATTTTAGTAAACTAAAGCTAAAAGAAAATCCTATTAAGTTGTTTTAAATAAAGATTTTGCTATTTAAGAATTTATGTGTCTTTGATGAAAAGATACCATTCTCATTTGTTTCCAAGAACTTTACAAAAATCAATCCCCATTATGAAAGCTATTTTTTCCATTTATCATATTATGACAGCTTTTGTAACCTAATCAGTTATGACATTGTCTATGAATTTGGAGTTTTAGCCTCATCTGAAGTTAATTCTCTATTCCAATTTCTTGCCAGTCTGATTTTGTAGCAGAAGAATAGGACAGCTAAAGAAAATGGTATAGAAAACAATCAAATAAAGAAAGAAATTAAGTAATAATCAAATTACTTTGTCTTGGAATCTCAAAATACTAAATTGTCAACATTTTTCTTAAAGACAATTTTGAGAATACCATGGCATCTAACAAATGAGGAAGTTTTAATGAGAATGGAATTTAAAAAGAATCTATCAATGACAAAATGTTGTAGATATATAATGAGGAAAAAAGACATTAAGAATTTAACACATGCAGTACAAAGTATTTGTCAATAGCAATCTAAAAGAGACTGCAAAATTATTTTTAGATGCATAATAGAGAAAGAAGACTTTGAACACTGATAGGGTACACATTGAAAACAAAACAAAAAAAGTAGCAGAAAACAGTTTATAATCTAACTAAAAATTTGGAAATGGATGGAGGAACAAGTAGTTTAAAAAGAAAGCAGACGTCTTGAAGAAGAAAGTATTGGTGAGGATAACAAAACAAAGGCAACTGTGAAATGCCTTCACTGCCCACATCCTGATGTCACATGTTTTAAAAGTTTATGCAAAAAATCACAAACACTAGTCTTGAAACATCACAGCTGAACCTGCAACACAAACCTTAATTGTTACATTTTGTGCCAAACCATGACATTAGAACTACCATGAACCGAACCTTAAGTCACAGCAAGATGCCTGACTGTTGTGAATTGCACCATTGTTTTAATACAAACTGTAGTTATAAATCCACCAAATGAGTGCATTTGTCACTCTAGAAAATCTCCAAGCAAATTGAGAAACTTTATCTTTTGCTTGGGTTAAGTATAGCAAAGTCATTTGACAGATGCTGATTGTCGGCTATTTCCACCACCTGTAATCATGAATGCATGCTGATCACAAACAATGTTCCTTGTCATAGCACATAACAATATTCTTATATCTTTCCAACCATTTTTAATTAATTCTTACATTTTATAATTTCCTGGTTAAAAGTTGGTTGTCCACAGCCAAATGCTTCTTGTAACAAGCTCAACTGCCAGCCTTAATAGAGATCAAAATTGTTTACAAAGTTTTGTTGGGGATGAATTATTTTCCACATTACACTCCATTTCCTGTTGCTACTCTATTGCTATTCCCATGGCAAATGTTCAGATGAGTACTCCATTCTGTAGTTCTGTAGTTCTACTAATTCAGAAATTTAGAACTAAGACATGTCATGCTATTTCCACAGAGTCAAATCATCATTTGGAATATGGAGGATATCCTCCATATTCCAAATATAAGAAAAAAGGTTATAGACAACCAGAACTGTTACTCTGTAGAACAGACTCCTATGTTGGTACTGAGCTGAGAACACTTTAATCTTGACCTCTTCAGGTCAGGGTTCAGTCGCTATCTTCCTCCTTGTCCTCATAATCACACTTCCAACTATGTTCTCTTAAATTCATATCACATATCTCATAATAACAATTTTAACAGTTACTCTCTACTTTGAACTGCTCTTGAGCCTTGTCTTGGATGATATTTAAGATTAAAATACATATATCTATACAAAAGATCTTCTTGCATTGTTTTGGAGAGGACACACTTGAAAAACTAATAATTAATGGATCTGTAGGTAACAGATATGGGCATGTGGCCAAGTGGTTAAAGCATTCACTTTCTGACCATGAAACCCTGTTTTGACTCTCACCATGGTTGATTTGTCAGGAAGAAGACTTCCTGATGTTATCAGATTGGATTGAGGTTGATCCCAGCATGCAGCACCTTTCAAAAGTACCTGAAAACCATACCACAGGTTAACCCAAGCCTTGTGAGTGAAATTGCATAGACAGAACTTTTGCAGGTCATCAATAGTTGTCCTAGCACTAAGCTATAAGTCATCACTGCCAAGGGCTTGAGTGAGCTGGCTTTGTTCAAATTATTGATCATGCTAGATAACATGCTCTCTCTCGGAAACTGTAACTAAGGTCTGCTCAGAATAGTTGCAGTAGAAACCACATCATTGTTCGGTCATCAAAGAATTTTCCTTGTTTTTTGTTTAATCTTATGACACCTTTCAGGTAAATTCTATATTACATTATTTTCATTCAGTCTATTTTCAGTGCCTTTGTTATTATCACAACATTTTAGCCATTAGTTTCTATCCTCCAGCAAATGTTTATCAATTCAGGTAAACTTCAGGTAATAATGAACTGAACCCTTTATTAAAATTTCCACTTTTCTTGCTTTTAGAAGAATGTTTTTGGTTGACACATTCTTTGGTCTTCCTGTATTGTCTGAAGTTCTGAGATGAAGACTTTTCATTATTCTATATATTATTTAGACTATAATCCCCACCAATTGTTGTTTTTAGCAAAATATTTTTGGCAGACATATTCTTTGGTCTTCCTGTGTTGTCAGTTCTGAGATGAAGACTTTTCATCATTCCAGGTATTATTTAGACTATAATCCCCACCTTTGTTTGTAGCAGAATGTTTTCAGCTGATACAGTCTTTGGCCTTCCTGTATTGTCTGAAGTTCTGAGATCAAGACCTTTCATTATTCCATGTATTGTTTAGACTATAATCTTCCTTTATTTGTTTTAATACAGTGTTTTTGCTGATATATTTTTCAAACAATCACTGAAAATTATATTAAAAATATCATTGTTGAAGATCCCAGACTTAAAATTAAATGGAATTATACTGAGATAAATTCAGAATTGCATAACATTTTTTTCTCTCTCTCTCTCTCCATTTTTTAAGTGCAGTGTCTCTTAAAGATTTATATGGTTCTTCCCATGTTTTTTTGTTTAATATCTTGAAACTTTCCAACGCTATGATTATTTTTGGTAGAGATAATGTGATGTTTTCCAATTGTCTTCTTCATGGTTTTGAGTTTGCAACTTTCTCCAAGACTGGCTGCCAATCAAAGATAGAGAATCCATTCTACTATTTAACATGTGGTTTGGTCGAAAAAAGATACATGTCTTTCCTGATAGTATTAGTGTGAAGTAAAACGCACACTGCCCTGGGGTGAATTTAAAATCAGCTTTCTGATTCCATTTTACCTAGTGTTAACCTTTCTTCCAAATATACCTTTATTTATTTTTAAATTGCCATCTTTCTTCACGACATATGTGATCTTGGCTCTCCACAGATTCCTTTTTCTTTTTATCTGTGAATTGCCATGACATCTTGGAAAAGACAGTTCAGTGTTTTCCTTTTGCCTTTTTCACAGTTTTTAATTCTGTGTTGTCCTTCTCCTAGACTGGTTGCCAACCAAAGCTAAATATCCTAGTCTACCTTGCTATTTAAGCTGTGACTGGAAGCAGAGATGGAATGGATTCCTGTATTTCTCAGACATTAGTGCATAGTAAATGCAACAAATTTTGATAGGATTTGAACTTGGCCTGCCATTCCTACTTTCCGCAAAAGTAACTATTACACAATCTGCATGTATTAATTACCAGTACTTTGCATTCATTCACTTAGAAAAGGTATAAATCCATTTATACCTATGCTCTGAATAAATTCCTAATATATTGATAAAATATCTAACAATTAACCTACCTTAATGATTGACAGAAAAGGGAATGAGTGAGAGAGCACTTGAGAAAATCAATCTTTACCTTTGGAGCAAGAAGCTGTTACCACTTTAGTTGACCTTGACAAGGGTTAGTCAATAGAATGAGCAAATACATGGGAAAAAAACTTCTTCTTTAAGTATCTTGCCTTCACAAGCATTAACAGCAAAAAACTATGACCCTCATATTCAAATTTATATGGCCAAAATAAGCTCTTTTAATTACCTAATCACCACCACAATCATTGCCAACAAAAAGCTATTACCTCCATAGTCAACCATGACAGGGTTCAATTCATTCATCAAATCAACTGTCAGAATTATACCCTCTCGTCTTTGTGCAGAGGTAGTATTCAATAAGCAGTCATTGGAGAATAGCAGATGTCGTAAGTAAAAACTTCACCTACTTTGGTGCTAGATTTAGAAAAGAGAAGAATTGAGCAAATGTTAACATCCTTTTTGCTATCAAAATAAATCATGTGATGAAACCACATGAAAAAGATGGAGGTCTGCTCTTCCTGAGAGAATTTATTTTTCTTTCCCAATTTTTTCCTCCTTCATTTCCTTTGATGCTCTCAAAGTATTCCTCAATTTGTTTCATTTTTATTCACCTTTTATTTTTCTCTTCTTTCTAAACTCAAGATTTAGCGACTCTTTAATAGAATATTATTGGATGCCAATTACATCTCAGCTGGGGAAAAATTGAGTAAACATGCAAATCCATGGCAACACAGACTTATTTATTATTCTGTTTCTATTTTTTTTGGGCTTATTCCTGTATTTAAAAAAAACAGTGTGTGTTGCTTTGTAATGCACAAAACAGATAGATAGATAGATAGATAGATAGATAGATAGATAGATATTGAACATAATGTGATTGATAGATATTGAACATAATGTGATTGATAGATAGATAGATATTGAACATAATGTGATTGATAGATATTGAACATAATGTGATGGATAGATAGATAGATATTGAACAGAATGTGATTGATAGATAGATACATATTGAACAGAATATGATAGATAGATAGATAGATAGATAGATAGATAGATAGATAGATATTGAACAATGTGATAGATAGATAGATAGATAGATATTGAACATAATGTGATTGATAGATAGATACTGAACAAAATGTGATTGATAGATAGATATTAAACAGAATGTCATTGATAGATATAGACATAAATATTGAATGGAATAGAATAGATAGATAGATAGATAGATAGATACTGAACAGAATGTTATATATATATATATATATATATATATATATATATATATATATAGATAAATAGATAGACAGATATTGAACACAATGTAATAGAGAGATAGATATTGAAAAGAATGTGATAGATAGATAGATAGATAGATAGATAGATAGATAGATAGATAGATAGATAGGAACATGCACTGACTCTGATAGATATGACTAGATTAAGATATTAATGGTCATAACTAAAAATTAGGTGGGGTAGATTCTGCTTGCAAAACTAAAAATAAAACAAAAATAGATACGAAAACCTGAGATGGATTATCATGATGCATCATGAATTTCTAGTCTTTCCAACTATATATCATTTTGAATTCTGTTTAGATTGTAGGAAAATATAAGATATTTATATTTACATATGAAGCATAAATGCCATGAATTTCTATCCACAATTGAAATTATTTGTTTTCTTAATGAAAGCCATTTAATGTCATAAAGTCTTTTCTCTCATTTTATTCTTGTGATTAGATGACTGTGACTTAATCTTAGTCTTTCCTTATCTTTACTGTCACTCCTTCTGCAAATAAATTTCTTCCACCCTTTCTCAAATTTCATGGCTGTTGCCATGTGTAAAGCTCAGCTTCTTGATTTCATTCAACTTGGTGGTCTGCTGACTCATATGAATCACTGACCACCATTCACAGCCATTTCTCTTAAGATGCCTGATTGCAGTGTTCAATTCATGGGTTGCAAAGCTCAAATTCCTTTTCCTGGACTCATTTTCCCCATTTATTTTGAACAAGATTAATATATTCCTATTTTTCTCTTAAGAATAATTGATTATAAGCTTGACTTTATGAAATATATTCATTTTTTTATACCAAATTAATCTTGGTTATTTGAGTTAACCAACTACTAAAATAATCCAAAGAAGGCATTTTAATCTTACTGGACCAGAACTTAGCATCTCCACTTCAGTCACTCTCCAACCTTCATCATCTGGTTTCCCCTTGTCTTTTCTATAAATATTTTCATGATATTTGTTTTACTAAGCTCTCCTCTTTGGTACCTCAGCCACATGAATTTAAGCGTACTACAAGATTGGCAACTAAGTCTCATCATTTTACTGTTTAACTAGCTAGATGTAACCATAAGTTCTATTCTGAGAGTTTCTTTTCTCACATTTCTAGCTTGTGGAATTCTTCCAGTTTCTATGATATCTTAAATCTTCAAAAATTTAAGTGCAATGTCAGCTTCCATCTTCTGGAATCATATTTTTTTTTATTTTTCTTTCTCCTTTTCTCTTTTCTTCTCATTCTCTTTCATTCCCAGTAACTCCTTGTGTCTTAGTAGCATTATCACCTTACTTGAGGTGAAATGATTAAAAAAAAATCACACATGGACAAATTGTCATCTAAATTATGCAAAAATGAAAATAACACTAACATTCTCATTTTAACAGATATATTTACCAACATTACACAAAAATATATTGAAATACTAAATAGTAGATTTATTCAATAAAATCACCATTGCCTTCATTCACTGCTTCCAGATGACTTCAAAATCTCCTGCAACTCTTCTGGATGGTCTCCTTGTATAAGTTGATGAATACTGCCATAATCCTTGTCTTCAGTTCATCTTTGGTGTTACAAGGAGTTTTATTTGTCTCTTGCTCAACTGTGCCCCACACATAATAATCAAGAGGGTTGCAGTCTGATGAGTTAGATGGCCAGATATAAGAGGTGATGTGGTCTCAGAAATTGTCTGACAGCCATGACTAGATTCTTTTGCTTGTTTGGCATGGTGCAGAGTCCTGTTGCTAATCATAGGGTTTTCCAGCAGCCATACTCTTGTCCCAGTGCAGAACTCCCTCCTCGAGGCAGTTGATGTAGGCCTCTATATTGGGTCTGAGGCCCTGTGGGAAAGATGAATGGAGGTATAATGTCGCCATCACTAGTGATCACTCTAGACACCTTAGATTCATCCATTTCTTTTCAAATCCTCTGTGCTGTCATCAGATTGACATGCAGACACTCTGAAATGTTCATGTTGGAGCTTCCTGCTCCAATGTGAAGCAGTACAGAATTCCATTTCTAAATTTCTGATGCAGTGAATTGCATCATGGTGCTCTTTTTCTCACAGATGGTGCCCAACTGACCCTACTATACTGTGCAGTTGACAAAATCCAAAACAAAAGACACGTATGCACAAAATTAAAAATATAAAATGGAGACAATTTATCCATCGCACTCTGTACAATGCTATTATTATTTCAATATTTTGTTTATCATTTTTTGATGGCACAATTATTATATACATTGGAAATGTTTACTTTCAAGAGTTTCATTTCCATGTAACATTTGGTTTGAAAGCTTAAAAATAATCTCAAAGTAAAAAGTAAAATTGACCAGTTAGTCAATAAAGTAAATTAAATTTAGATAAATGGTGTATAGGCAATAGTTAGTTTCTGCAGAATATTCTATACATATACAGAGAAAGAAAAATGAATTAATGTCTTACTTAATAGTTGCCTTAGTGACTAGGCCATAAACAGAGCAAATAGAAGGCTAAAGTAGATGTACGGTTGCTCTGATGATTTGGCACCAACTAGTACTTTTCATACAACATATTTCTTACCCTATGACATATGAATAAATGATAGTTAAGTCATGGACAGATAATTAAGTTTTATAAATATAATTTGATAGGTAAGTTGAGACTTTTAAAAAAATGGTGTCCAGTCACATTATTTATCTAACTCAAAAACATTATCACTGTAAGGTTAAGGTAATACGTAAATATGATTTATGAAATGAAAGTGTGCATATAAATTGCAATGAAGATCACAAATAAATAAGGAATATTATGATGATAATTTAATAAGTTATTATTGGGCATTCCTTGCTTCAGTATCAGAGGTGGATAGTCTGTTAATATACTGCAGGCTCCTTCTTTATTGGTTGATGGTGGTTACCTAAAGAAGACCAGGAGCATAATGGCTGAAACATTGTGATAATAACAACAAAGATGAGGATATTGATCTGATTTTAAATAACACAAATATTAACTCAAACACCTCATCACTTTAATGTTCAGTTGATTCTTAATTATGAATTTGGGAATTAAAGTGTATATATGTTATTCTTTGTTGCCAAACAGAAGTAAAGGGGGACATTTGTTTTCTCTTTAGAATATTTTCTAAAACTCAGATTATTAATGGTAAAAGAAACGGCTAATATTACATTAGCCGTTTCTTTATAAGGAAACATTTGGTATTTGTTAACCTAGCAGCTAGTGCTACTTTTGGTTGAAATTTATAAAATCATTCTCTTAGAGCAATTTTACAGGAAAAATATAGTTGGTATGATTCTTTCCAGTATTGATAGGAGTTTCCATTCTAACCTTTTATTTGAAGTGGTGGGGAATGTGAACATCTTGATTATGTCATTATTTTCTCTTTGAGTGACATTTGATATCCATTTTATTCTGTTGAAATTCTTCAAGTGATGTGGTTTCTGTTTTTTGGTACAGCTCTTTGTGATTCTGTAATGCCAGTCAATAGGGTGTGTAGAAGAATGGTCTTTGCTAAGACCCAAAGGCTTCACTTGCTCAAAGTCATTTTTTATAATTGATCTGAGAAAATTATTTTTAGGAATGGTTTGTTTATTCTTTGACACAACTGCAAATAATCAAATACACACTGTTCCATATCATTTTCTTTCTCCATATTGGGTTTGAGTTGACAGAAACATCATCATAAGGTTGATGTGATTGTGAATATAATACTTTTAGATACCCTTCAACATGCCCTTGATGTAACATGGCAGTTTTTCAATCCCTCTTTTCAAATGTCACGGCCTGCAAAATGTGATGCTATACTTGTAATTGTTACTCTGATGAATATGTTTTATTCTTCTCATTACCTTTATGTATTTGGTTTGGTGACTATTTATGGCTTAAATGTCTATAAGTAATCAATAGGCAAGTTGCAATACAAGTTAAGCGAAAAAAGAGTATTTATTATGGATATTAATTTGTTAATACTTTTAAAAACAGAATCTCTATCTATAAAAGGCAGGATGTGTGTGTGTGTGTGTGTAACGAATGCACGGCCGCAATTTTCAACGGATTTCCACCAAAATTTACATGCACATGCTCCAAGTTAGTGGGAAGGCCAAGACTGATTTTGCATTTCCCAACTCCCATTGATAGTGGAAATAATCGATTTTTTCATGCTTCTATGGCAGTTTTCATGTAGTTTGTGGCCATTTTCTACTGGCCAGAGTGAAAGCCAATAGCTGGCTGCCATGAATAGGCAGGGAGATTCTATTGGCCAGCGTGAGAGCCAACAGCTGACTGACACGAATGTTAACTAGCATGCTAGCATGCAAAAAAAATCGATAGCAGCATTCGTTACAAGTGGGAAAAATTTAAATCTGCATTGCACTTTACTCCAATTGGCTCATTTGCTTGCTTAAACTCAATGTTGATTCTGATTCCGCAGAACTGGGTTGGGTGTAAAAAAGTATTTGTTGTTAACATTCTTTTTTCATTTGTTTTTTCCAGTTACGAGTCCTTTTTAAAAGCTGATTGTTTTGTATTCATTTTGTTTAGTTCTTTTTTCATATAGAGCTTAGAAATTCGCAGTGTGACAGACAGAAGTAAGGCATGTACCAACATCAGCATGGCAAAGGCACTCTTTTAAAGTCAAGGAAGGGCAAAAATATTTTAAGTCAAGTGATAGCGATTGCTGTATGTGTCGTACGATTTTTTAATCAAGCACAGGCAACACTGGGCCATGCTCCCAGTGAAGAATAAAAATGGAAAGATTATGAAGAAGAAAAAAAGGAAAGAGTTTGAAGACAAAGGAAAATTATGAAGAAATAGTAAAGATTATGAAGAAGAGAAAGGAAAAATTCTGAAGAATAAGAAAGAATTTTGAAGAACAGAAAAAATCATGAAGAAAATCTTAACTTTTAAGAAGAAATGAGAAGGGAAAGAATATGGAGAAGAAAAAGAAATGATTGTGAAGAAAAAAGAAAAATCATGAAGAATATAAAAAAGCATATGAAGAAGAAATAGGAAAAATTATGAAGAAGAAAGAGAAAAAATTATGAAAACAGGAGAAATTATGAAGAAAGAAAAGAAGAGATTATGAATGAGAGAAAGAAAAAAGTATAAGGAAGAGTAAAAATTAGAAGAAAAAAGAAAAATTTTGAAGAAGGGAAAGGAAAATGTATGAAGGAGAAAAGAGATTATGAAGAAAAAAGAAATATTAACTATTATCTCAACACTGACTAAATATGCTCTTTATTATTACTATTATTATATTACTAGGTTTATTTTATCTTCTTATTGTTGCTTCATATTGGATCAAATATACTCTTGTATCATTAAAATAAACAGTGTGAAATCAAAGTCCATCTTTTTCAAAGTTATTGATATTGTTGTTGGCAGTAAAAGATTGGCAGAGAGTCTTGGATTTTTCCATGATTGAAAATGTTAACATGTTTACAGTCTCTTTGGCTAGAATTAGAAGTTTTTTTTTTATCTTATCAATATCTTTTTTGTTCTAACTTTAATCTGCAATCTTCAATGTTACTTGAACATCTAATAACATTGAACAATTCCTACTTTTCTAAGTAGAACTATGTTTCTGCCAACTTGACCCAAGTCGGGTGAGTAATCTGAAGAAAATACATATATGTATTTATACATATTGTAATCAAATAAAACTTCAAATCTCATAAAAAATCATTAGATCTCTAGGTAGCATAATGGTTATCAACAGGAAAAATGGAAGGGCAATTCGTTTTCCAGATGAAACAGTTTGTCCTTACTTATTACTATATTGTTTGGCAGAAAGGATTGAATTCAATTCTTCTCCACCTTCACAGCCATCATTAAAAATATAGGCCAGACTGTTCACACTCTAGGCATAGGTGGGCAACTATTCTTGGAGAAGGATAACTCTAAATTCAACACTTTGGTAAATGTAACAGGGAGACATTGCACTATCTTTCCTATGAACAGACATGACAATTTACAATTTAAAATGGAAAGGAAGGAAGAGATAGTAAGTATTTCTGGGACACATAATGAAGAAAGAGGGTTTAGAGAATTTAACACTCACAGGACATACTGGAGACAGGAATGATAGAGTGAAACAGAAAGTAATTGGATGAATGGCTGTCAGAGTGGAGAAAAAGAGGGATGATAAAGAGTCTAACATTGCTTAGAGCTACAAGGGATAAGAAGTCATAGAACCATGATCGCCCACACCCTGAGGAGAAACATAAAAGAAAATTGGGTGAATGGTGTATCACTACAAAATTGGAATGGTAATTCAAATTCCACCTGAAACAGTTTGTATCCATTTCTCTCTATTGTCCATGAGAAAGTCTTGAATGTAACATTTTTCCAACCAAGGTAAAAAAATTGTAGTGGGGATTAAACTCTCTAGCCTTGTTAGGGTAAGCATTCTTGAAGAAAGACAACTCTAATTTCAAAACCTTGGTGAATGCAGCAGGAAATCATTCTTCTATCTTTGCTGAAAATTTACAATTTACAGATCAAAACGACATTTGTGGAGAATCACACCATTACTATCCATTTCCTAAAGATTTTCAGAATAAGTATGAAATATAATCTTTTCAGAATAAGTATGAAATATAATCTTTTTGTTTTAGCTTTCATAATTTCTGCCATCATTTTATGAGTCATTATTAATTTTAACTTGACTTTAACTTTGTTGCATAATCCAAAGAGATTCTTATGTACTTTGTATCTGCATGACTTCTTCTTGTCCGAAACAATTCTTTCAAATTTATAAATGGCATTCTGTTTTTTGGTTTTTCTTCACCCTGACAAAGCCCAAGAGCCACTCAAGTTAGATGGTTATAGAGTAAGAGGTACAGTTTATGTGGACAGGTGGAGAAGATAACAGTTAACCCTTGACTTGAAGAGATTAAGATTGTAGAGATCAGGAAAGGATCCACTTGGGAGTTGATTCAACAATACAGTGCTTTGGGGGAAGAAGCTGCTAAAGTGGAACTTACATTTCACCAACGGAATACAAAAGGCGTGAGGGTGATTCACTACAATGTGTGTGGCATGATGGTTTTAGCCATGAAGGTTAGAAATAGTGGGATTAAGAAATGTAGTTCTTCTGAACCCTTTCCATAGAAATAGTGATAAAGCAGTGAGAGATTTGCAATGTTTCATTTGTGAGAGAGGGGTAGTAGGGTGGAAAATACTTTGTCACCCACAAGGATGCAAAGATGCTTTTGGACGTTATCGAAATTGGAAAGTGAAGACTGGGTGGATCCTGCCCATATATGGTAGCAGTATTCAATTTTGGTCTAATCTGGCTATTTGAGAAGGTACAGGACAGCAAGAGGAGTCAGGTACTTACTGGAGTGGTATGTGGAACTGACCATTTTTGCAGTATCTTTAGCAATGGATCATATGTATGAATTCTACTTGAGGATTGGGTTGAGTTTAAGTCCCAATAGGTGCACAAGACACAGGGACCTCTCTAATAGAACACCAGTTCATTATGATTGGTGAAAGTATTGGGTTGCTCAGTGATGATGGCAGCCATTTTGATTCAGTTTCTGATATTTTTACTAGTCATGGCTTCACATCTAGCCTTTTCCTTATGGCAGTCATTTTGATTCAGTCATATTTTTCCTAGTCATGACTTCACATCTAGCCTTTTCATTATGCCAGCCAATTTGATTCAGTCTCATATATTTTTCCTAGTCATGGCTTCAAATCTAGCTTTTTTCCCTATGGCAGCCATTTTGATTCAGTCATATTTTTCCTAGTCATGGTTTCACATCTAGCCTTTTCATTATGGCAGCCAATTTGATTTAGTCTTATATATTTTTCCTAGTCATGGCTTCAAATCTAGCTTTTTTCCCTATGGCAGCCATTTTGATTCAGTCTCATATTTTTCCTAGTCATGGCTTCACATCTAGCCTTTTCATTATGGCAGCCATTTTGATTCAGTCTCTGATACTTTTCCTAGTCATAGCTTCACATCTAGCCTTTTTCTTATGGCAGCCATTTTGATACTATCTCTGATATATTTCCTAGTCATGACTTCCAATCTAGCCTTTTCCTAATAGAAATCATTCTGATTCTGTCCCTGATATTTTTCCCAACCGTTGGTCTGAAGTTGTTTTGAAAGACTCAGAGCTTTTCATATCCTCTTTTTCCAGTATCAATTTCACAAGCTTAAATTACTAGAAGAGCCTGGTCTTGATGTAGTATGGAATGTCTTTTCTGTTCCTAATCTTTTCCTTTTATCTTCCAAAAGTATTTCAGGCATGTGTTATTCTTTGCTTTATATCATCAGATGGAACTGAGAAAACTGATGCTAGAAAGTTTTCAACATTTTATACAGCTCTACCATTTGTCATAATGTTATCTTTTTTGCTTGTCATTCTTTGGTTTTTGTCTGAGTTTCCTTCAGACATTTTCAAAGACATTTTAAAAACATGTTTAATTTATGTCATCCATCTGACTATTCAGAATTCGGATAATCATATCCTTTTATAACCTGACAATTGTCACTAAGAATTTAGTCTTGTTCTTCAATCTTTGAGCAACATGGTACACTTAGATTTTTTTTTCCCACTCAGTGTAAAGGACCACCCACTTTGTTTGCCCCTATGACACTTATAGTTTTGAAACATTAACAAATTTGTAATCATTTTTCTTTCTTTGTCTTAATTTTACTTTCTTTTTGTTTTTGAAGACTTTTACTTTCTTGAATGTGTTTTTAATTCTCAGCTTTTGATAGATTTAAATCCATTCCACTTAATATTTTATGTGCATTCCTGTGGGGGATGTACACCAGAAATTCCTTTCCTTCAGAAGATTTCTCAAGTATCAAGGTGTTGCCGTAGGGTTTAAATTACATTTTGATTGATGAATCAACCAAGAAACAATCACACACACACACACACACACACACACACACACACACACACACACACACACACACACACACAGAGTGCTGCACAAAAGTAAGTGAACAACCTAAGATAATATTTTGAGAAATTGTCCCCTTTTTCCAGATAATCAAAAAATCCTGATTAAACTATATATTCATTAAGAAAAACCTTTATTAAAGCAATTACAACCATTTTGAAAACTTTTTATCAAGATGGAATAAAAATATTAATTAAAAATTAAGATGTGCAAAAGTAAGTGAACCCCTACAAATAATATATTTGGTGACACTTCCTCTTCAGGTCACAATGTCGACCAGTTTCTGAAAGTAGTGAGCCTTAATTTTTTTACCATTCTTCTTTTCAAAACTTCAACAACTGTTTAAAATCACCCGAGTTTCTTGTATGCACTGCCTTCTTTCATTTGAAGTACAGATTTTCAATTGCGTTTAGTTCACGACTTTGACTAGGCCATTCCAATACTTGAAATTTCTTTTTTCAAATCTATTTTCTTGTGGATTTGCTTTGATACATCAGATCATTGCCTTGCTGGAAGATCCAGTCCCAGCCTAAATTCATCTTTCATTCAAAATTTCTTGGTATCTTGCACAGACCATTATTCTATCAATGCACACTGTTCCAGCTGCAGTAAAGCACTCCCAAATTCTAATGCTGTCACCACCATATTTAATTGTTGGTACCAAATTCTTTGCTTCAAAAGCTGTATTAAAAGACACCAATTATGCTACCTGTTGTTCTTCCCAAAAAGCTTTAGTTTGGTCTCATCCAACTATAAAAATATTTTCCAGAACATTTCTAGCTTATTAATACGAGCTTTGACATAGTTGAGCTGAGATTGTTTATGCTTTTTCATAAGCAGTGGCTTTTTTTTCAAGACATTCTGCCATGAAGTCCCACATTGTTCAGATTTTGTCACACTGTAGATGTATACACGCTGATTCCAATATTGGCCAGGAAGCATTGAAGAATCACTAAGGTCACAGCAGGATTTGCCAAACTAGGTGTCTACTTCCTCTTGCTGTTATTTTTCATGACTGGCCACTTCATGAATGTGATGATGTCATACCAAAGGCCTTCCCTTTATGA